TCGTAGAGAGTGGTAGGCCAAAGCTACTGTGAGATTTAGGAATTTTTGTCTGGAGGTTTATCTCTTTCTCTCTCGTTGTGAAGTGAAAACCGTGTTATTGTTGTCATTTAATCTAGCGTAACACGTTTATTCGATCATATTAGGTCACCATAAACCGGAAGAGGGATTTACTATTTCAAACATGTTTCCTCCAAGGTAGTTTGACGGACACTTCGAGTGAATATTTCATCGCGAGTTGCTGTTCCTCTTTGTTGACTAGAGGGCTCGTTTTAAAAATAAAATACTCAACATGGCGGCTTCTCGGCCTGCAAGAACCTCTTCGATTTCTGTGTTCAGTGTGCTTCTCATTATTTCTGTTTTACTGGACGTACGCGTTTACGTGGATGGTAGTCAGTATTTTAAGGAAACAGAGTACGTAGCCACACATGGCAAGTGTGAAAAAATCACCATTCCATTGTGTAAGGACATACAGTACAACGAAACGATAATGCCAAATCTTCTGAACCATCAGAAACAGGACGATGCCGGGCTGGAAGTCCATCAGTTTTTTCCTTTGGTGAAGGTCCAGTGCAGTAAGCAGTTGAAGTTCTTCTTGTGCACAATGTATGTCCCAGTATGCACGGTCTTAGAAGAGGCCATCCCACCGTGTAGGACTCTCTGCAACGAAGCCAGAACGGGCTGTGAGAGTCTGATGAACAAGTTCGGATTCGAGTGGCCCGACACCCTGAGGTGCGACCAGTTCCCACCCTCTGGATTATGTGTTGGAGAAAACAACACGGAGCCCACAGAGCCGTCTAAAGGCCCACCGAATGGACAAGTTAGTGGACCAAGCAGCGGCAGTGGTGGTAACTAAATTTTGTCATTAAAACGATCTAACTTATAATTTATTAATTTAGGTTAGGCCTAAATCTAGTAAATCAGTGTCCATAATAATGGAATCTTCTTTAAAAAAGGGGTGTTGGGTTACTGGTAGTTAACTAGATCTAAATACAATAGACACACACATGGCTGGCTAATTTCAATGCTAACCCTGTCCCCATACCATACACCTAACCCTAATTTTTAACCATAAAATGTGTCGAGATTACAATGCTACTAGAGGAGCTTACACTTTTCGGACACACATAGCGAAAAAACGCAACGTAAAAATTCCATGCGGTCTCATTCAGTAACCGCTTAACATAGAAAACAAAAAAAAAGTATCATATCTATCCGCAACCATTCTACTTTAATAATGTGTGTGTCATTTTGTATTCATACGCATAGAACTTAAGCTATTCTTGTTATAGTGACTGGGGGGTCTTAACGTGTGTTCGAACACATGTAATACAGTTTTACATGTGTTCGGACACCTTTACCCGTCATCGGACATAGCACTTTTTGTTCATTTAGAATAATTTAAAGTCAATTTAATGAATAAAAACATATATTATATGCATTTATATTGTGTTATTGATTGTTTGTGAGGTAATTTTAATAGTATAAAACCTTTTTCCCACACTCCCAAAGTTCATCCCATTCAGCCATTGCGGCTCGCGCAGTACGCTGCTAAGCCAGCCAGGTCACATGATTCCCCCTCCTCTTTTGCATTCCACTGCCTTCTTGACCTTATTTTGACCCTTTCCCTTCAATAACCAGCCCCTTTTATGCTCTAAATTCTTATTTAATAATATTTTTGTGTTGCTGTCCGATCCCATGTAAGGCCAAATAAGTTAGCGAACACCCCTTTTTTATTGTTCAAGCACGAAAAAACCCATTAACCTTGACATTTACGATGTTCCATACATATATAGAAGCTATTTATAGTGTAACCTTTTAGCTAAGCAGTGATTGGTTCAAGTTTTGCCCCTAAGTCCAACCCTAGGTCACTTCATCCGGCTGGTGTAAAAATAGAAATGTGCGTACCATGCAACGTTAAAAAATTTCTAAAAATAATTCTTGAGAAAGGAAACGGAAGTACTTGACACGGAAGTGTTCATAAATGAACAGTTTACGTGCAGGCGCCGTGGTTTCGCGTGAGACATGCTAATTAAAGTTTCTATGAGCCAAAAACCGACGAAGTGTTCGGTCCTACGTAATTTTTGGTGTGTGTCCGAAAAGTGTAAACTCCTCTAACAACCCAACACCCCTTTTCTAAGGAAGTTTGATTATCAGACACCTGTATCTATAATCAGCGAAAACGTATCTATATTAAATATTAGCTCTCCTTAAGGTAGGTCAAGTACACTAGTAGGCCAGTAGATTCTAATACTGAGTTTTAGTATTGTCTCTATAATAATTTACTCTGTATTTCTTTCAGACGTTTTCTCTGGTAGGGGGGGGGGGGGGGCACTGGTAAAAGTATAGGGCATAGATCTATATTTTATATTTTCTAAATAAATTCTATTTTTTCGGGGGTGGGGCAGAACTGAAAGACATCCTGCTGTCTCTAGTGTCTAGAATAGTCTATTATCTCTAGATCAAGATCTTTCCTGAAATAGGCCCTATTGGTAAATCAATACCTAGGCCTATATGGATTTCAATTTGCACCCCCCCCCCCCCTCAAAATTTTGATTTGCGCCCCCCTCAAACTTTCAATTTATTTTTCCAACCCATTTTGGCGCCCCCCTAAGGTCGGCGCCAGGGGACATATGATATGTCATGTCTCTGAGTTATCTCAAGTTTAGTATTCTGCTTCTAGATCTAGATCCCACTCTTAACACATCAGGGAAGCAGGTCCTACTATTAAAGTTTAATTTAGGCTTTCTACCAACAATGACTTAACACCATTTTGTTGAAGATTCCATTGTTGACGTAAGGATTAAGACTAACAGATGCTCTTATTTATCAGTTGTTGTTGTTTTTTTCCATTAAAAAGTCATTACCTGTAAAATGACAAAAGAGTTAGTAGTAACAACATAGGAGAGGTTTTGTATCAGTAGGTTTTAACTAATTCTGACTATCTCTGGTTTATAGGCCTATATTGTAAAGTTTTAAATATTGTAAGTTGCCTGTGTTTAGGTTTAACAATTAGTCTAGGGAGATCTACTACAGGAAATTTTAATCACATATTATTGTTCACTCTAGTTAAGTAAACAAAGTAAGCTTTAGTAGGTAGCCTATATGTCTATAAAGTTGGCTTAACTCACTCGGTTTAGTTTGGTTAGCCAGCTGGACTTTTTTTTAGAAATTATTTAAGAATCTGGTCAAGAGCTTAGAATGTCTTTTCAAAATTATAGCAATAAATAGCTCCATAGTCTGGTCCAGGTTAGACAGTTATTGCACCTTGGATATCTGGGCTCAAAGCCTGGGAAGCGAGCTGATCAGAGCCAGATGTTGTCGTCCCTGTATCAGCCCCCCCCCCCCCCCCCCCCCCATAAAGCTGAATGGCCAAGTGGAAAATTTACAAAATTAAACATGCCTTAACTAACAAATTATTTAACCTTGACCGCAACTACTGAGGTTTGACCTTCTTGCACAGAAATGCTGCTGACTCATCACTCAAGTAATGCATAGGCTGCCTCTAAACTAATATATTTTTAAATTAAACACTTCTACACATTCCGGCACATTGAAAATGCAGACATTAAATGAATACCAAACTAAATGGTGTAGTGTGCTAGTAAATAGTTTTCTGCTAGTTTATATAAAGCTATTAAAATGCATAAGTATCCAGTTTTATATCTTAGTTTTATAGAGTTGCTAAAATTGATCACCTTCTCATTTTGTAAGGTGATTTCACATAGTATAAGACATTAACCTTAAAGCTCCTTGTCGTTAGATCTTTAAAAAGTATGTCAGTAATTTTTGTCAGTTTTTTTTACACTTTTTGACCTCTGTTTACTTTATTGTTAATGCAGAGCTGCCACCATCTTGGCAAGAATAGTCTTTTCTTAAATGAAAAATGTCATGTAACTCTTTTCATTAGTTTATTTCCTAAAAAAAAATGTGCGTTTATACCCTATCTTGCAAATGTTAGGCTTACTCTTTATAAGTAAATATAAAAAGAAAACCAGGCTGAAATCTGTGTCAGCAGCTTAAATGGCGCATAACCAGTTGACACATATACATTTTAATTTTGTTGCATGTAATCCATTCAAACACTAAAACTAAGAAGAAAAAGAAACTATAACAAGTTTAATGATGAATTGCAATTGCAGCAAATAATTTTGAAGAAATACTTCTACTTAAATAAATCTAAAATAAATCGTTCTTGTAGATTTTCAGCTGAGCTATAACTAGAAAATGTGATGTTACAAGACCGTAGAAGTATTGACAGTTTTTTCAAATCGAATAAATAATAAAATTAAGTTTTAAACATCTCATGGCAATTGAAAATAGCATGTCACATCGGTCAGCATTTTCACACTAAAAATACTTTCCCTAACAATTTAAAGTAACCTCAGTCTTATACTGCTTTAACATTTACAACATGTATACTATACATGATGAGAGAGAAATCTACAAACTAATTTTGTATGGAAACATTTTTCCCACAGAATATGCGTACCTGTTGAGAGGTGTTCTTCTCCTAGAAATGTTAGTATACATGTTGCAAGTGTAAACGTGGTTTTAAAAATTCTCAATACCAAAAGTACAATTGAAGTGCGTCATTTTAAGTTTTGTAATAAAATTTGTTAATAAGTTAAATTTCCATATTTAATTATACAAATACAGTTTTTTGCATTACAAAAAATAACTTATTGTCAGTTGAGGTCTCTGGTCATTAGATGTTAAATTATTTTAAAATATAATCATTTTCCAATAATTAATAATACAGTAATGAGGTACTGCTCCCAGTGTTAAATTCTTTATTTACTTAAAACATCAAATAGGCTACATCCAATCTTTAGTAAAGTCTAACAAAGCCACACAGTGAAGTTTTTATAATGACATTTATTTTAAAAACAATGACCAAAATATTAAATATTCAAGACTATTCTCATTGGTGTCTATTAACACACCTCAGTCTGTTTTTAATAGTTTTAGAAAAAAGTGGCCTCTCCATAAATATTTAGACATGTGAGTTCCAGAATGTATGACTAAATATTTTTTAAAAACAATAAATTTGCATACAGAGGTTACATTTTATAGTGCTTATTCAAAAAGATAAATCCATTTTTACATTAAGTAACTTTTTTGATAACTTTATTTTCATGTAGCTTTTGCATCAATTATTTGGTGATTTACAGTTTTAGATGCATACAATATATATATAGTGACTATTTTGTCTTTCTCTTTCTAAAAATCATTCATTGTGTGTTTAAGGCAAGTTAAAGACATGCATTTGTCACTATTTATCTTTTGCATAGTCCCATTCCAGCAATAATTATCATCTATAATGCAGTTAAAAATGTACTATTCTTTGAACCTAAGCTAAATCATTAGATCTATGCATAGATATTTTTTTAATGCAGGTGTATTTAATAAGGACACTCACCTTTTTTTTTTTTTTTTTGAGTTTATCAAATTAATGCATTTATTGTAGTTTAATCAAAGGTGAAATAAATTTACCACTAGACTGCACATGGCCCCCTCTCTGTGTTGTCGACTTCAACTGTTTGAATTATATTTTTGTCTACCTGTTCAGCTGGATGTCACAGTCTTTTCCGATCAGTCTAGTGCATTGTTTTCTAATACAGCTGCAGTTGGGCCTGTACGTTCCCCCCAGGCGCTTGGCTTTTTTATATTACAGCAAGCTGCTCTAAAGGAACGCCGTAGAATAAAAATTCAAGAATTTAATTATGTGTTATTGCTTTTGTGCTTTAGCACCTGGGGCCATTGAATATTTTGGTGTATTGCTTTTTTTATTTGAACTTGTACGTTGGTGTGTTGTCTTATACTTATAGTAATTTTTTTTCTCTGGAATTTTTGTTGTAGGACTTAGCTACAGTAAAATTTTCTTAAACTGCAACCCTTATCGTGAACAGTTTTTTACATTCAGTTTAAGCCAGTGGCTCTTAAACTTTTTGTAGGAACCCAACCCCACCAGCATAATGATTTGCGCAACAGTTATACTCTGCTAAAAGGGACATATAAAATAAAAATAAAAAATTCAAAACATGTGTATATATTTTACTGAAGTACAAAATGAACCGTCATTGTTATTGCCACAAATCAATTACAATATGATTTTCACACAAAATAAAAAAACATTAATTAATGAATATTTACTGCAAATCAGTTTGACTACTGCTATTGTCTTTCAAACACCTCTGAGGAAATGCGCTGCTTCTTTCTTGGTTTTGTGGGTTTTTTTCTCCCATCTCCACGCAGCTTTAGGAAGTGTTTTCTTAGCTTTGCTGGTGCTAGACTAGAGTAGAATAGCTCAACTTGACATTGTAAATTGTGCAGTTATGCATCTGACTCCCATTAAATTCTGCTGTTCATGTGAATAAATAACATAACATGTAGATCAGCATTTTCACACTAAAATTAAATATGTACAATAGTACATATTCACTTGCACATTTTCTATTTTTGCTCAACATAATAAGTATGAAGGAATTAAAATATGTAGGAAAAAAAACGATGTCATACCATCGTGGTATTGAAAAATCTCCTACTGGGCCACAATATAATATAGAAATAACAGTATGTTACCTGACGTTCAAGGTTCCACAATATTATAACTTTCAGATATTTATCTTGCTCTGGCGCACTTTATTACCATGTCATGCACACTGATTCGATCTTAACCCTTTCCCCGGCGACTGGGTGTAATCGACCCGAAGTCACTATATTTTTGCTCATGTCTCGTTTTATAAATTTTTCTGGGCCTCATTCCCATCTATAAGGTGGTTAGGGTGAACACATTGGAGGTTGTAAATTTTAAAAATATGCGTAAAAAAAATTTTATGAGGGTTTGAAATTTTTTTGTACAGTCCCTGGCAACTGGGTGCTACACACCCGGACACAATTTTGAATGGAAAAATTATTTATAACTTATAAACTGGCTTCTAAATATTTGTTTTTACTCATAGTGGGTTAAGTCATTGTGTTACATTTTCAAAGTTTAACTATAAATTAACAATCTGAAGGTATTTGAGTAACAAAACTATCAAACCGGATTGAAGTAATCAACTTTAGTAACAAAATAATAGAACATTATCATGTTTTAAAATTTGCACCTCAGAGAGCACAGTTGTTAGATAAAATTAAAATAACTGGACATTTCCTTTTGCTGGCAGGGAAATTTAGTTGTTTTTTTTTAATAAAATATGGGCACCCTTTTAGTGGTGTTACATGAGTCACATGTCCAAAATATTTTAATTCCATACTTATCGGAATTGCTTGGTATGTATTGGATAAATCTACTCCCACCTCTAAAATCAACCAGTTGCTAATTAGTTATGATCTCTCCAGAAACATAACACATTTCTAAATTTGAATGGAATATCTACCATAATGGAAGCAAATATACCATGAGCCTGATGGACTATTAGTGTAATTGTTGTGAAAGTGAATATGACCCAGAAGGTTGCTGAATCTCTTCATTGAAAATTCTGCCTTCAAAAACTTCCATAAGCAGAACTGAATTGACATACAACTAAATTGTTATTCTGCAGAGTGCCAGTGTCTTCTCTTGCTTTCTCTCCATCCCTGCTAATGCAGTCAAATATTGGTTGTATTATTTTTTGTATTCATGCACAGAAGAAATATTTAGGGTCAGGCTGTTTATAAATTTCCTGGGATTAGCACTTCAGGCAGTGGTCTAGTGTATTGTTACTTTGTCTTTCCTAAAAATATTTCTTTTTCTTCACTTTGCACCAGCCGTTTCATTTCATTATGAGTGCCAACTGTTGACACATTATTGATAGTTGAAATGCAGTATATTGGGTAGACCTCGTCATCAGAGCTGCTTGATACTGATGGCTGCCATTCTTCATCTTCTAACTCTAATACTGATGGCTGCCATTCTTCATCTTCTACCTTTGATACTAATAGTTCAGACTCAAAACTTGTTGGTCATTTTCACCTGCTATACTAAAACTGGCAAATATATTCCTTTATCATTAGCACTTGAGTTTAGACAAATGCGTCAAGACTTCTTTCTGTTGTGTTCTCAATAACGTTTGTGACTATTTATAAACCTTACTCTCAGGGTCACAACCTGTAGAACACCCACCCCAATCCCAGTTTGATCAATTAATTGCCCAGTATTAACTTTCAAGCAGCATTACAAAGTTGTTTTGCCTTCTTGTCCTCATTCGTAATCCTAATGAAGTTAATGTCAAGTTACTCTAAAAGGCTCGAATGTCTCTATCTACATTCCAGAGCTTCATAAAAGAGTACAAATCACAATATATATCCTCCCACAGGCAATCTTACCACTGCATTTCATTAACCTATTGTAACTCCAAACTACAGTTCTGTCTGTAACTGCAAGTCAGAGCTCCAGCAAAGAGTATAAATCACTACATATGTCCACCCACAGGTTAACTCTTGCTTGAGAATCCCATCAACCACTAGTATCATATTACAGCTCTCCCATTGACAACAACATGTCTTGTGTTCCCCTTGGCCACTGTGCCATGAATACCTTAACTGTGTCAGTATTGTTACCCACCCCACAATGAACAAAGAAAAGAATCTACTATAAGAAAGTCTTTGGGTGTGATCCACCCAGTTGCCGGGGACAGGGTACCAAATATGTTGCCGGGGAAAGGGTTAAATCATACAAGTCTGGTGTGTCTCTTGTCCTCATCCGAACCCCTGAGACTGACTCACCAAGCCCTAGTGGTTCCGTGAAACCTAGGTTGAGAACCACTGGTTTAAACCCATAAAAATATTCACTGAGGAATAAATTAAACACAGCCCTAATCTCTTGCTAAAGCCAGTTTCAATATTTGATACTTAGTAAAAAACAACTCAGAGATCTTTTCAATATATTTTGTAACCTAAGCTATTTTTATTAAGGATGTTTTTTTTTTTTAAATTACATTCTTGATGCATTAAAAAGCTAGTTACAATAAAGGTTTTATATTGGTTGTAGTTTTTAAGTTATGTTAGGTTACAATTGAATGTTCAGTGTACAAGAAAACAGTTATCACATTTTGGTTTAGTTTTTGATGAAATCAGAATCTTAAAATTTTCTTCTTTCTGTTATAAAAAATAAAAAGGTTTTATACTTTTGATTGAAACTTTTTAAAGAATTCATATTTTGAACTATTTGAACTAAAAGGAATTTTTCTATAATTTACCCCATCCACATAAAGGAGTGGGTGACGAGGTTATAAAATCTGACTTTTTATCCATTTTGTAAAAAAGAAACGTATAAACTTTTTTTTAATATGGTCATCGTGGAATTACTTCTATGTGCTTTTAAGGGGGGGGGGGTGACGTAATAATGATTAGGGGATGGCAAATAACACTAGAATGGTGTGAATTCACTTCCAAGTCCATCTGTCAAACCCAACTGTCCCTACACAAATGTGACACTTGCTAGTGCTAAGATATCATGCTGACTCACTATATCTGGTGGAACAAAATGCACAACCAATTTTAGATAACTAACAATCTTAGTAATGATCACACAAAAAATGTACGTCTCATGTTAGTAGTCTTCAACCACTGTAACTAATGTTATCTTTTCAAACAATTTTTTTTTTTTGAAGTAGCAAAGTTTTAAAATACTGTCACATTTATTTTGATACTCCAGCCAAACTTGATACATTTATATATCACATGAATCAAACGTCAGGCACACAACTTAGTCAAACACAACCTGATAAGATTATTCTTTGTAATTAATTGGCTAGATCAGGCACAACTCCAGTAGCTGTTTATGGAATTTCTCTAAAAGTGTGACTTATTTTTCTTGGTTTATCTAAAATGTGATATTTCTTTTTTAACCTTTACTCATATTCAGCAAATTACTTCAGTTCAGGAATTATTTTTTTCAGGATATTCTGGGATTATATTTCAACTATTAGCCAAATAATTCACAACAGTATTTGTAATTGATACTTTTAGAATATGTACTTCATAACTCAGTGAAAAACTATCCCCAAACCTTACTAGTTCTCAATGACAGAAAAATAAATTGACCCACTATTACAATTTTTGCTTCTATAAGTCTACATCTGCTTATATATTAATATATGTATACTTGATTTTTGTTTTATAGTAACTATAGAGTAAATAGTTTTTTTAAATTCAACAAATTTTTTTTACTCATAGGACAATCCACTACACCGAAGGAGGAAGCCACACGTAACTTAGGCTTCCGTTGTCCCTCAGTGCTTCAAGTTCCGAATGGCTTTGATTACCACCTCAAAGTTGGAGATGAACTGGAGAAGAACTGTGGAGCACCGTGTTACGATATGTTCTTCGATAACAACCAGCGGGAGTTCGCAAGATGGTGGATTGGAATCTGGTCTTGCGTCTGCTTGGCCTCGACTCTTTTCACAGTTCTCACGTTCCTGATTGACATGCAGAGATTTCGGTACCCGGAGCGGCCAATCATATTTCTGTCTGGATGTTACTTCATGGTGGCTATGGCGTATGTTGTGGGTTTTGCCCTGAGGGAGAAAATATCTTGCAATGACCCTTTCGAACCACCAAACAGCAACACGGAGCCAAACAGAATGCTGCAGGTTGTCACACAGGGCACTAAGAAAGAAGGCTGCACCATCCTGTTTATGATGCTTTACTTCTTCAGCATGGCAAGCTCCATCTGGTGGGTTATCCTGACCTTGACCTGGTTCCTTGCCGCAGGGATGAAATGGGGCCACGAGGCCATCGAAGCCAATTCTCAGTATTTTCATCTAGCCGCTTGGGCAGTCCCTGCCATCAAAACAATCGCCATCCTGGCCATGGGCCAGGTTGATGGTGATATTTTGAGCGGTGTCTGCTACACCGGTATCTTCGACGTCGACGCGCTCCGGGGTTTCGTTCTGGCTCCCCTCGTTGTGTATCTCATCATTGGTACCTCTTTCCTCCTCGCTGGGTTCGTCTCACTTTTCCGCATCCGCACGATCATGAAGAGTGATGGCACTAAAACAGACAAGCTCGAGAAGCTCATGGTCCGTATTGGAATCTTCTCAGTCCTCTACACTGTCCCTGCTACAATTGTCATCGCCTGCTACTTTTACGAACAGGCCTTCAGGGATAAGTGGATGGTCACATGGCATGCTACAAGATGCACCGACTTTCACATTAATTGTCCAGCTGGCATCAGTTCAAAACCCTGGCCAGATTTTAATGTGTTTATGATCAAATACCTGATGACTGTGATTGTGGGTATCACCTCTGGTGTCTGGATCTGGACTGGGAAAACTTTCCTGTCCTGGAGGACTTTCTCAAGTCGTATATTTGTACGCAGGAACAATGAATCTGTGGTGTAATCGTAAACTCGTGTATGGTCACAAGAGTCCAGTGGGCGTGCATGAAGCGTAAGTGAAAATGTTTGTGTGTGGGTAAGTATGTCTGTCTGGATTACAGGATATTCGTCTTTTTGTAAGAAGGCAAGTGGATATATACACATTTAAACAAACTTGCAAGGGTTAAGTCAGCAGAATATTACTTGGAAGAAGTTTTGACGGTTCAATATTTTTTTGTAATGACAAATTTTTTTTTTCGTATTTCTGTTGATCTGTACATAGTACTACCTTGTAGCTGGATTATGTGCTAGATAAGATTGGATTATTTACTGGATTATGCTGTCAGAGCTCAACATGTTCTGTCACGGTTATTGTTCTGATTCATCATCAAAGGATTGGATTTTAAAGTTACTTAACTGTGACAGTGTGAACTAAATTCTCAGTTCTTTGGTTGGATCAATATGTGGATGTTTTCCATCCATTAATTATGGTTTAAGCCTAAAGGCACTGCTTTTTTTTTTTATCTTTGCATCTTTTTCAATTACTGGCGTCTAAGAATGTGTTGTGTGAACTTCTTTATAAAACTTACAGTAGTTTTGGCTTGTAAATGGCTGCTTGTTTAATTATAAGGAAAGAGCGGTAGCTGCCATTTCGGAACAGTCAAGTATATGATGCACCATTACTTTGTTGTTCTTTTTTGGAGATGATTTACAAATAGTGTATGTGTAAACATAAATTCTTCTTGCAGTTTTAAAATTAACATATCCAAAATTTTGACTTGCATGGTGAGTTTTTTACTGTTTTTTTTTGTTTCCTTATTCGTGCAGAAATCATAACAGTAACCATTATTTACTTTTTGTTGTAATTCTACTCTATCTGATCTCCATTTCGAAGACTTGCAAGTCGAAGTACTCAGATTTATAATTTTAATTAATTTTTTTAAATAAATTGTAAAAAGACAATCATGTTCTAGATTGTTGTTTGATCAAAACACGTTTTATATTTTTTTTAACTAAGTTTTTTTTCCTTCAGTATACAGCTCATGACATTTTGCTACACATTTATCTATGAACACAGACATCAGGCATGGTTACTTAATGTTTCACTCTCTTTCTCTCTCTCCAGTAACATTCAATTGTAGCTAACTTCCTGTTTTGTTTATTTACCACTACTGTGATTTAATTGTAATAGGTAGTTGAGACTAAGCAAAAAAATAAATAATGGCATTTTTTAAAGTGTTTCTAAAAATAAGAAGCGAGAGGCACTGTATAAAAGTTATTAAAAAAAAGTCATATGTGCTGTTACCACTGTAGTTTTTAAAAAGTTAGTGGAATGAATGAAAGGTGATTATGAAAGAAAAAGTGCTACCTCAATTCTATTAAACAGTTTTATACCTTGACCATTTGTTTGTTATTTCGTATGTCAAACTTGCATTTGAGGCAAATGGTTAGATAACAATTGTTTAGTGGAATATAGCAATGCTTTATCGATTAAGAGTAGCCTATTCAATTAAAACAGTTTGTCCTTCTATTTTCCTTCCAGCTAAATTAAGCTATTTAGATAAATTTAACACAAAGCTGACTAAAAAATATAGTATTGGTAGTTTTCACATAAATTAAAATAATTTAAATGGGTACATTAACATTCCAAATTAGCACAGTTTTTTTTCTTAAAAAAGAACTTGCTTTGGAATTTCAAATGAGTGGGTGTGGTTTTAAATACTACTTTCATAAACCTAATTCTGAACTTTCCTGAACCTTGTTAATATTATTCAACATGTCTGGGTTGATTAAAAAAAATCTGTTCTTTGCATTCAGTTTTTAAAGTGATGAAAATGATTTACATTTCAATTAAATTAATGGTTCATGACAACAGTAACCATAGTAAGTAAATATTTTTAGTTTGTTTAGAACATTTACAAAGGAATTACATGTAACATCGTTTATAGTTGGGTTTTTTTTTAAAATATATTTTGACTGGTAACAGTTAACATTTTAAGTTAAGATTATTTAAATACTTTCTGATTGACTTAACCTTGTTAGAATAAAGTTTAATATTACATCATCACTAAGTAGATTCAAAATATATATATATATTTTTTATAATAAAAAACTTTTTATTTTAAATTTAGATTTTTTATTTTTTAAATTATTTTCTGTCTAGCAACCTAAACAGACACAATTTAATATTAATATTTTTTAAACTACTATATGTATTTTTAGATAGCTTTGACAAACAATGTTGGCTTTATTGATCTTAGTAATTAAAATTTAAATTTTGGCAAATATTTAAGCTTTACAGTGTGAGTTCTGCATTTATATTTTCTTATTCAGTAAATAAGTTTTGGCCCAAAACTATTTTTTCTTTAGCCTGTGAAGGAAGCTACTCCAAGTAGAATCTGCAGCTGGTCCATGTTCTGCTTCTTAATTTCTTTCTACTTTTCGCATGACTCCTCTCCTCTGTTAGTGTTGTGAATTTCACGTTTATTTTTATATTAACAGGTTACAGCTTTATATTTTTGTAACATTGTGCATTTAAAACTTATATTTTTTTTAGTTAACTGTGTTGACACACTTACGACAGGTGACAAAATATATTAACAGAAACAACATAATAATTATATATGTACAGAATGACAATGTATATTTTTGTACACGTTTCAGCTTTCTTAGAAAGTGAAGCTGAGTAGACAGTAAATGAACAAATTGCTTTTATTTATTAAACATGTGAAAACAAAACTATATATAATGTATATTTGATAGACTTGCTAAAAATTTTAATGCTGCTTGTGTGTAGTCTGGAAGCCAGTGGTTTAGAATATTGTAAGAATGCTATGCTGGATGAGGCTTAATGCTGATTAATCTTTACTATGTTGCAATATTACTAATGTGTTTTGTATATTTGTACATTAAATTAGGACATTTGTTTATTAAATTGCGTGCAAGGTTTTGTGAAAATGACGAGATGATTGAATTTTTTAAAAAAATGTGTTAGCTTTAAACACCAAAACAGTAATTTTAGGCATTGCAGTTAATGAAACTACCCATTATAATTTATATGGTATTTTGTGTATCTATTTGATTTTGTGAAATGGCGTTTTTAATAAAACTAAGGCTTGCTTTGGTATTTCTAGTTACTAAATCCACCCACTAAAATTGATTAAACGGCCCTAGATAGGACTGAATTCTCTGCATAACTATCTGATAAGCTGCCACATTGGTGATTTCTGGCTCAGTTATTGATCTGTCGAGGTGAGGTTTGATTTGAATAGCCAGTGTGTTGTTGGTCCATGAACATGGCATGAATCATACCCTACAGGGACCTGGATATGAAAGTCTCATGCTAGATGACTGCTGCTGTAAAACTAGGAATACTTTTTTTGTATTGGTTAAAATGTTTGATTGTATAGGAACAGTTTTCTTACTATATTATACTTTATACAATTAGGGTCTAAAACTGTCAATTAATTTTAAGAATCCAAGAAAAATTTTCAATGCACATTTCTTTACTTAATCATACATATGCTTATTTTGGCTCATCCTAAAATTGTGTACAAATATGCAAAATTGAAAAACAAAAAATTACCCCAAATTTTTAAGCAGATAAAGAATACAGTACCATAGTACTTCAATACAGGGCAGTTCACACCTTCAGGGTATGACTCACTTATTGATTTCTCTAGTAAAAAAAAGTTCCATTAGGGAAATTTCATTTTTTTTTTTTTTCCTCCCAATCCGATTTTTCAATATTTTATACCAGAATTGATGGATTCGAAAGAATGCTTTTTGTTAATACTTTTTCAAAATGTACTTGATTGATTGAAAAGTTAGTTATCGAATGTTTAGTTTATGCTGGATGATTCATAAATAGGAATATTTGTTCTGTATGAAACATTTGTATTAAAGAAATTAACCATGATTGTTCAAAACTATGAGCAACTAAAAGAATTTCTAGCAATTTTTTTTTTATAAAACTGGATGAAGCTAAGAACAAAGCTTTAAATCACTTGTGACTTAATTTATTTTTGGAATGGTTGTGTTAGTATTAGGCCAGTTATTTTATTTCTACTCTAGACAAGGGATCCAAGTTTCATTGAGTTAACATGTACGGGTGGATCACTTAAAGGTTAACATTGTGTTTTTTTGTATAAACTGTATAAGTCTTGTGATGAGTCCATTTCATTTTGTGCACGATTATTATTTTATAGAGATGTATAAATACTTTTTTTTTTTTTTTTTTTTTTGCTTTTTCATGACTCAATGTTATGTGAACAAATAAAAAAAGTGCAAATTGGTTTTTAACAGAAACTTTGTTCTTGATTTTTAGTGTATTGTATTTGTTATTGTTATTGACAGATTAATCAAGTTTCAGCATACACACAATTTTCGTTTGTTATGATCAACTTTATATTACTTAATTACAAAACTTTTATTGTTCTGCTTTACTTTTCTTTTTTTCTTTTTTTTTTGGAAGATAGATTATATATTCTGTGTAAACATTTTATTGTATTTAATTTAAATTTCCCCAACAGTTTATCATTAAAGAAAAATTAAATATAGTTATGGTACTAGATTGAAACCATAAGGTAGTCATTTCATGACCCTGGATATCCTTTTATTTATAAGTAAGCTGCAGCTTCCTTATGTGTAACAATTATTATAGTACTATTGCTGCATGTTATGGCTTTGATACACAGTAATAGTTATATCAGGTTTTATATGGTTTACTTTATAATGGGCTTTTGACTATTATTAAGGAAGAGCTGTCTGTTCAATTAATTAGCATTTCTAATTTAAAAAATTTATTTGGATATTTTTTAATCAAAACTTATAAATAGTTTATAATGTTATAAGTTGTTAGATTTTTAAAATAACTAGTTGTTGAATAATACATAGATTTTAATGATCTATAATAGCATATGGTCTATAACTACAGTTTGATATTTTTCTAACAATTTATATGTACAAATATATAAAATAATAATTCATCACTTCATTATTTAAATTTTCTAAATTGACATTTCAAAACTAGAATACTCTGTTTGATCCTAGTTTTGCTTATTTGATTTGGGATCGCGACCAAAATATGCAGTCGTGTTTGCTTTAGCAAGCTGTGCTTTATCTGGCCACTTGGGCCTGTCATTCGACCTAGCTTCGTTGGTCCGTTTGATGTCGGATGATTGTTTGGTCGTCTCTTTTGAGCCTCGCGGGTTATTTATGTGCGATCTGATAAGTGGGGTGTTTACGGTAGCTGGGGTAAAAACTATCAAGGTCAGCAGCTTCTGTCCTGTTGTGATTTCAGGCGAGACTCAATGGGCTTTCCTGTTCGCTTTTTTAAAATTCTCAGTAAAGCATAGTTTTATTTAATTAGATTCTATATCTTATTTCCATCCTACTTTTATTTTTATGACCTGTTTTGTAGTTGTTGTTTTTTTTTTTGCCAACTATTTTTTCAATAATTTTCATTGCTTTTCCGAATGTGTTTTTGTTTTTCGATCTTGAGGATTCGTTGCTAAGCCTTGTCCTGTTATGTCTTACTTGTAGTTAGTTGTATCAACGAATAGCCTATCTCCACCTTTTCCGAATGTCTTGCTCATGCTGCACTGTGATTTGTCCTGTCTTTTCCCCTACCGTTGTATAAGTCGCTTAGTTAAACCAAACGGGACTACTACTAAATCTCAATAATAATTCTCGAATAATCGAATATGTTAATTTGAAGTGGATCCGTGTTGTTTCTGCTATCGTCTGCCCCATCACCTTAGCAATGCGTGCTGTGGTTTTAAAAGCCAGTAGGCTATATCCTATCTTAACCATCTTGCACTTAGATATTTATAACCATTTTTTCATCCTACCCCTTTAGAGTCAAATAACTTCGTTGAGGCGCATCGAAGCTATAGATTTTATACTATCTCTGCCCTATTATATACCTTTACACACCGTATGAAAATTCACCTCAATTCAATACTATAATCCTACAGACGCAGTTATAAAATCCCCCCTTTCCCCAGTCAAATTGCTATTGTTGACGATGTTATGGATAGACCAGGGTCAGTGTCTTGTTGAGTGAATACAAATATTAGCGATAATGGCTATCGTTGATAGGGTTACAGCAAACCAAACATCATTTTCACTATATATACATACACAGCTATGGGTATTTATCGAATAGCCTTACCAATACGTTCACGTGTTATTGCTACAGATAAAGCTACTTCAGCTTCCAACTCTAAGCGTTGAAGAATCTATACAAAAAGTTGAGGCGGAGAGGTGATCTGTTAGAACATAATTATCTATAATAGTAAAGCAAGCCAATCAAATACACGGCATGACTGCTAATCATGGACAGAAACTCACTTTAAATGTCTATAATTATTACATTTGTAATGTATTATTTATGTATTTTTCTCATGTTATTTCGAATGTCAGCACATGACATCTACCTATACCGACGCCATCTTTCTTTTAAAAATGAAATCTTACGTCACATATTTCAACTAAATTTGGCTTACTCAAATTCACGCAAAGCTGGACCCTGTGTGTGAACCCCCCCCCCCCCCCCCCGCCCCTTTAAATGATATCTATTGTAACAAAAACCAGCATGTGTGCATATTTTCCATTGTTTTTATTTCTTCTATGTTGTACAAAATGTACATTACGGAAGTCCGAACTCCATTCTATTCCCCCCACCCAATGTATAGATCCAAATGACGTTATTATTTATGGACGGACCCCCCTTACAAGGAAACGCAAACAACACTAACTTACGCCTAATTTATAAACCCCCCACTTTCGGCATGTACGCTATGACAAGCAATACATTAACTCATGTCGTCGCACTCCACTTCAACAAAGGCTACTGTCTTAGCTATATAAGTGAACACACACTTCACTGACATAATTTTTCTTAGTCTTACTGGGGTTTTTATTTTACTGCACTATAAGATTAAGTCTGAAGT